CCATAAACTAGTTTTTCCATTATATACAATGTATCTATAAACTATCTAATTTGCATATTAATGTCTTTTTGGGCAACATGGAATGAACAAATAAGTGCAATAATGGGAGTAATAATTAGCAAGATTTTCATAATATCTAATAGGAATATTGATATATAATTTCTTCTCTATTCATTTGTTGTGCCTCCCAAAATGTGTAATAAACATGCTTTAAGTTTTTGGTATCTCTGAAAAGCCCTGAATGTGCTCTGTACAGGACATCCAGACTTAAAACTGTGACATATAACGTCTCAGAAAAATCGCTAAAACAATGTCCTCTACAGTGGGCAAAACTCCATAGCTGGTAGTCAGGAGGTTAAAGCAAACTCAATTTCCTTTTGATCATACTAACCTGGTTTGCCCCATTCGATGACAGCGGTCCTCTGCTTGTTTATCATTGAATGGATTGCAATCAATGTCATGCAGTATCACTGTGTTTGCAGAGGTGAGGTTGATCCCCTGCCCCCCAGCCCGGGTCGACAGGAGGAACACAAAAATTTCAGGGTTTGTATTGTATTTGTCAATGAGACCAATCCTAGAGAAGCCACAAGGGTTGAATTAGATTTGTTCAGACAGGCAGCTTCCTACTTGAATCTCTTTAGTTGTTCCAGATTAAAAAAGTAAAAAAGTATAGTGTGTACAGCGGTGTCTGAATTTATACATTTATGCTCACATGCGTATCCATTAAATGTAGATACAGTGGATATTGAAATAAAAGTCTGAATGATTAATCAATTGCATTTCATTACTTACAAAGTGACAGTAAGGACAGTCAGTCCTGAACATCAAATCCAAAAAACTAATCTGAATTGACGGCAGTTCAAATAAATTGACATGAGGTACTGAAGAAGGTAATAACCAAGTCATGCTCACCTCTCCGCCATGGGAGTAGAACCATCCAGTCGAACAAACTGATGGTCAAGGTGTTTGAGCAGAATCTCCACAATGTCCAGCATCATGGTGAACTGACTGAAAAGGACAACCCTATCACCCTTGAAGAAAAAGAAAGTTGTTTTAAACACATCAGCAACAATAAAACACAAACTAAATTCAAATGACTCATCAGGAGACTTTTAAACAGCATCCAGACAAACCTTTTCTTTGAGCCTGGAGAGTATTTTGGTTAAAAGTGCAAACTTCCCAGAGTCTAAGAGGAGCGCTTTCTCCAGCTGAAAACTGCTGATGGAGCTGTACTGCTTACATAAACTATGCAGCTCAAAATCAGACATCACTTCCATGTCCTCCTGGATCAGCGCAGGGTCGGCATCAAAATGTGTCGGCTCCTAACATAAGCAGAACCATGTCAGCTCAACAACGGTATGCAATACAGCAGTGGTTCTCAAAGGGACAGTGCATCTGTCATCATTACTCACCCTAAGTTGTTCCAAACTGGTCCCCAGTTGACTACCATAATATGGAAGTGGGGTAGTATGGAATCCAAACATTGTCACTGAAAATGCTTTTTCAGGATTGCAATTCTTTTTTTACACAGTGCAGTGATCTTTCACAGACACGTTTAAACACAATAAATATAAGCAACACATTATTCAATGCTTTTTACTTTTGCATTTACTTATATATTAAGTTGCTCAAGCAAGTGGCAAAACATTTAAACTACTTTTCTTACGTTATCACAAGCTTACCATTGACAGAAATAATCAGCTCTACTGCCTTTCCTTTTGCATTGAAATCTTTATTACAAGAAATCCTTTCAAATTACTTTATAAGTTATTTAATTAAGACGCTTTTAATGTGATCCAAACTTTAACAGTACATTAAAATAGAAACACCACAAAGTCCTTTAACATGGAATGGAATAGAAATTTAGTAACTAAGTCATGTTTAATTATAATTTCCCCCGGGTATTGTTTCATATCGGGGCTCTGCGCTTTGACAGGACTGTGGGACACGAGCAGGACAGAGCCCGTCTCTTCTCATATCTTCATGTTTTCTCCCAATATTCCGAAACAAATGACACCGTTTGTAAATGGTCAGAAAAGCAAATTTAATATACATATAAAATTCCTTCCTACTACTAGCCTTTTATTTAGACTAAAAAACCCTTTCATTTGGGTGAGGAAGCTGGCTTGAATACTTGAGTAGCATTTGCACATCCTGTCATGCCGGTGACTATATGCCACTGCAATAGAGGCACTTTGCAGTATTAAGGTTAACGATTGATTGATCGCTAATTTAAATGGCGATTGATCATTTGAATGATCGAAAATTGACATCCCTAGTCTGTACCGTAGAGAACATTTTGGAGATCTGTGAGGTGCTGCTGGAGAACATGGAGGGCATGATGAAGTTCAGGAGGGACATGAGCTCCAGCAGGTTGTTCTGTAAAGGCGTTCCTGTCAGCAGCAATCTGTGCTCAGCCTGTAGATGACAGGTATAGATAAGTACAACTTTACTACCCTTCTCTTCATTAAGCACTTCCCAAACTAGCCCAAAAGAGAAAAATGGCAGTGAACAGCATTTCTTTAAATCATATTTACAATGTTTATGATACATGTGTACTGACATTGATGGCCATGAGGTGGCGGTAGCGTTGAGAGTTCATATTTTTCAGCATGTGGCCCTCATCAAACACTGCATACTTCAGCCTCAGCTTGCGGAACAGACTGCGGTCATGGTCATTCCCTATTGTGAGATTGTAACTAATACATTTGAAAGAAGAAAGGATGAACAGGCAAGTGTTAACACCACTGAATGCAAGTGACTTACATAAATACATAGTCAGGGCAACAATATATAAGTACTGTAAAACAATATGGTGAGTCATCTTATACTTACGTGGATACTATGATGTTGAATTCAACTAAGCCACTGAGGATGTCTTGTCGCAAGTATCTGCGGTCTTCCACAGACCCTACAAGTATAAACACAAAAGAATAGAGAGAACAGACAGAAAAGGATTCTGTATTAATATGTATTATTTTGCACTGGGTTCTGAGACCACACTGAAAACCTGGGATTCAAAATCTAATTTAATCTTTAAAATTTGTTTTACAAAACAAAATTTTTTTATTTTTAGAGCATAATGTGCTCGCCTGAAAACTAACTCACCATAGTAAATAAGAACTTTAAGACTGGGACACCAAAGACCCAGCTCACGAACCCAGTTATCTGCAAAGAGAGAAATGCATCATCAAGCAACAATATAGGGACAAGTTTATATGCTACAATCCCACTGAAATAAGTATCTTACCCAGTGTGGACGAGGGTACGGTAATAAGATGAGGGCCCTTGATTCCATTTTCATACAAATGAGCCAGGAATGAGATGGCCTGAATAGTTTTACCCAGTCCCTGTGGAAAGATCAAATCACTTATAAACAATATCCGTGATAATAGTCCTTTGCTTAAAAGGAATCAGAAACCTTCTTGGATTTCATGCCTTTGAAATCAGTATGACAGTGACTCACCATTTCATCTGCCAGGATGCCACTCAGCTTATGCTGGTGTAGAAGAATCAGCCATTTCAAGCCGATCAGCTGATATGGCTGGAGTTTGAAACTTAAAGAAGTCAAAAACAAGAAGTTAAAAAAAAAAAGTTGCATAACCCAGACCTGCCAACCTTCGAAAATTTTTTTAGTACCATCAGCGTGGTGGGCGGGGGCGGTGGGTGAAGTGGGGGTAAACCGTAACGGTTTAGTTAATTTTTTGCTATTTAGTTTTTTTTTTTAATGCAATTTAAAAAAGAAAAAAAAAACAAAAAAAACTCTAGTACACTTTAATTAAAACTCCAGTACACTTCTGTATAGGGCTGGGCGATATGAGCAAAAATTCATATCTCTGTATTTTTTGGCTGATTTGCGGTATATGGTAGCCTATAGATCTCGGTATTTTGTATTTGGATTAAACAAATAAAGTGAATGTAAGCATGTAGGCATATATTATGTGCAAAAAAGGGTTACAATCACATTACATTGTAACATTGTAATCTAAAAACTAAAATAATCCGTTTAAAGCAGAACAACATTTACAGATGGAGAATATATCTGTGAAATGTAAGTTATGCATTAAGGAAAACAGCACATCTCAAACACATTAAACAGTGCGTCTCTGTCAGCCTCACACACAGCCTTTCTGTCAGAGCATCTGATGGGGCGAGCGCGAGCCGCTTTGAACTGAAACTATAAACGATAGGCCACTAGGAGAGAAATAAAACGCAGAAATTATTTAAATGCAAAAACAAACAAAAAAACACTCTGACTGGTTGAACTCTTCCATCTTTTTCTGTTGCTTGTTTTGAATACTGTGCGCGTGGACAGAGGCGTCACTAGATTTTTGCGTAGTTTAGAGTGACAAATCGTACCAGCGTACTTTGAGGTCAAAATGCGTAGCCGCTACGCAAAATGCGTACAGGTTGGCAGGTCTGCATAACCTGATATCCCAGGTGTGTATAATGAGAATAGATAAACTCACTTGCGGTTCAGGACTTTGGGTTGCTTGATGGAACCCATGCCTGCTTCTATGACCTGGGTAACATCTTTAGTCATTTTCTGTGCAATCTTCTCACATCTTCCCATAAGGTCTCTAACCACCTGCCTCTCCTTAAGCACGACCTTGCAGCCATGTACCAGCTCTATAGACAGGCCATTATCCTTATAGAACTGCTCTTTCTGAAAGAAAAGGAACAAAATTAGCGCTTTTCCACCATGGGCCGAATGGTTAATGTAGCTAAATAGTACAGTTCTGTACCAATTAGGGCTTGCTAACATACTTTTTGTTTGTTTTTCCCAATCGGGAGTTGCCACGTCAGACAAAGCCTTTCCACCAGCATGGTTCACCTGTCTTGTCTACCGATAACTAATGGCACTGAATTCAGTGCATAGAATGGTTTGGAATATCCCCATTTTGTTACCAAAACATTTCAAAATAGTGTGACAGATTTTAACACCTCATTTAAACAATTAGATAAAACCCGTCAGTGGGCATGAATACAAACTTGACAAATATAAATCACTGCCTTCACAGCCAAAATAACTAATCCCCTCTGAGCACTTCAAGAGTCATTCAACCACAATAACATAATTCTGAGTGACAATTAACATGGCAGTGCAGATTGCACACATAAGATTCTTACCACATCTTTCCAAGTGTTAAAAGGCCTCAGCGAAATGATCTTCTGGGCTTTTTTGATTGAGCAGCCAGATATTAGAGCCAGCTCATCTAGGGAAGCCTCTTGGAGAAACTGAATGATCTTGTCCTGGAGATTGCCAGAGATGCTGTCCTCATCCTCTGAGTCCAGATCATCAGAGATACTCTCAACATCACTGTCAATCTCCTCTTCATCCTCAGAGGCACTGACATAATTTAACAGCAATTCATCGCCCCTCTTCCGCTTAAAGGATGTGTTTTTGCTGACTGTTGATTTTTGTGTTTTTTGAGTAGACACACTAGAAACTTTTGGCACAGGAGACGGTACCGCTGTCAGCCATCTTGACAGACTAGACGAGCTGTCAGGCTTTTGTGAGCTCTTGTCCTTTTTTTCCCTGGAGTGAGATGATTTCGACTTTTGTTTTCTCCGATCCTCTGGTGAACTTGAACCTGAGTTTAAAATGATAAGGTATAGATGGCTTTAAATCAGATCATTCTCACATTAAAATATCTATTTGGACTAAATCTTCAACTGTAGCTGAAATGCAGTAATAATCACCTGTTGATGAAAACACAAGCAGTGATCCCAAGGCATTCTCATAGTCCCAGTCATGCTCTCTCAGGACATCCCTCAAGACCTGTTAGAGAAATTGAAGACACAGACTCTCCAGAATATCCCAGTACTCTTGCATCAGTATAGATTTCAACATCTAGCCTACCTCTTTTTCAATATCAGGCAGTTTATTTTTCAGCTTCTTCAACAGAGCCTCCTGCCTCTCTCTGCTTGGCTCTTGACTCTCCTCATCATCAGAATATTCTTCCTCCTCCTCAGATTCCGAAGCTGAACGCTAAATCACAATCAACAGCCATTTAAAAAGGAGTTCACCACATTAAGGCCATGGGAAAGATGTTGGGTCTAAAAACTTTGATTCAAATGGATCCCTCACCACAATTTTTCTCCTCTTCGTTGGCTGATCGTAATCATCATCTTCACTATATCTCGCTTTGCCTTTCTGTCTGCCTGAATCTGCATATATAAAACAGTTTTGATTTGAATTAGAAGTTATAATATTGTATGCAAAAATGTTCACCCTGTGATTGACCTATGAGAATTGCAAATAATAAAAACAGCCTTACCGTCATCTCCATAAACCATCAAACAATGTGCTATAGCTCCCTCCAGCGTGCTGGTGCTTTCAACTACCTGTCACAATATAAAGTAACACAAGAGCATAAAATCTACAACATTCACCTTAGGGGTGGGCGATATGGCGTATCATATCACAATTTTTTTTCAGGAAAATCACAATTCTATCACGATTCTTTGTCATGATGGTTTTACTATTTTGCAACTTGTATGAGCAGTACAGCCCAACTAATTTCCCTATTTTAAAAACAAAGCCTTAAGGTAGCAAAATATCAAATAAAAAAAGAATGACAGATATTTAGGCCAAAGTGGGTGAAGATAAAAATCTTTGTCTTTATTTTATAATTGTTGTTAAAAAATAAGAACAAAGATACAAATTACAAATACATATTATATACAAATAAAACAAACAGTGCTTTATTTTTCAGGTAGAGTAGGCGTATTTAGCAGTAACATATAAATATATATATAAAAACACTTCACTGTATAAATTATACATTGACTCTTATTAAAGCAACTGTATTTAAGTTCTTCTGTCAAGAGCAGTGAGTGATTTTTCTCTGTTTTTGTGTTTTATTAACATTAACGGGACAGTGCAACCAAAAATGAAAATTCTGTCATCATTTACTCGCTCTCAAGTTGTTTTAAACCTGAATGAGTTTCTTTCTTCTGTTAAACAAAAGTTATATTGAAGAATGTGGGTAACCGAACAGTTGCTGGTCCCCAGGGTCTTAATATTTTTTCCCTACTATCAAAGTCAACGGGGAACAGCAACTGTTGGTAACCCACATTCTTTAAAGGTGACATATTATGCCCCTTTTTACAATATGTAATATAAGTCTCTGGTGTCCCCAGAATGTGTCTGTGAAGTTTCAGCTCAAAATAAACCTATCATTTAAACAGATCATTTATTATATAATTTGCCTATTTTGAGTGGAAGCAGAAACAAGCTGTTTTTCGGGCCTGTGTCTTTAAATGCAAATGAGCTGAACTTTCGCCATGGCATTAGAGCTGGTACACCGTTGTCGCTTGCGAAATCAAATGACAGCGCCGTGGGTGTAAACTTACAGATTAAGGGCCGGTGATATTATAATGAGATCCCTTTGCCATGTCACCAAGGGAGCGAAATCAGACGCACTCGTTTTCTCAGACACTTGCAGGAAAAGGCTTACCAAAACAAAGTGATTGGGTTAATCTTTTTCACGTTTCCTTGGTTGGTAGATGCACCGGGGACCTGATTATAGCACTTAAAACCTGGAAAAGTCAGATTTTCATGATATGTCACCTTTAAAATATCTTCTTTTGTGTTCAGCACAAGAAAGAAATTAATACAAGTTTGGGACAACATGAGTGAGTAAATATTGAAATTAATTAAAATTTTTGGTTGAACTATCCCTTTAATGACAAGGGGCAGCATGTTTGCTACAATTAGTCTGCTGTTGCTTTAAGACCTGCACGCATCTAATATACAGGCACATATCTGTTTTTCTCTCGACTGTTTACTTTCACTTTAGACATAACCAACTGTGTTTATATGTAAACCTTGTGTATTTGACCATATTAACTAGTGCTGTCAAACGATTAATCGCATCCAAAATGAAAGTTTTTGTTTACAATATGTGTGTACTGTGTATATTTATTATGTATATATAAATACACAAACATACATGTATATATAAATATTTAAAAATATTTACATGCATATATATATATATATATTCATATATAATTTATATTATATATAAATATAAGTATTTTATATATAAAAAAAACACTCCAAAGAGAAAGGAAAACTTGAAATCGCATCATATGACCCCTTTAAATATATACATGCATGTGTGTGCATTTCTATATACATAAGAAATAGTGTACTTTTGTGATTGCGAAGTGCAGTGTCCCGTGAGCGTAACTCTACTGCTGAGTTAACATTTGATGTGAATGTATGTCGCGTTGCACAGTATTGAGATGGCAGCGCCAGAACAGCAACTGATAGAATGTGCGCTGTAGCACGATACCACGCTATTTCTTCAAAAGCAGATCGTGGAGACATTTTAATAGTCCACGATCAAAAATAGTTATATCACACACCTCTAGTTCACCTGCTTTATTAAGTATTGATGTTACATCAATGAGAAACTCATTACCTCCAATAGATCTTTCTTGCTCTTCTGAGGGAACATCTCTATTAGTTTGATGATTTTGTCCTCCATATCCTTGCTTATCTGGTGCTTGGTCACTGATGTTGTATCCCTGTGAAATAACTGTATGCTATCACTAGATACAGACTAGAGAGTGTGTTTAAATGTGAACATTCATATTTGCAATGAACTCTCATAATGTAATCAGTAAGCTTGAAATCTAAAGAAAATGTGTGGAGTAGCAAATGTGTCCAAGAGAAGACATGCTGCAGATTCACTTCTGATAAACCCATAGTCTCGCTTACTTGCCCGTCCTGACAGCTTTGTCATCGGTAGAAACATCCTCTAATGCATGTCTTGATGCCTTGCCTGATGCACATCGACCATCTGTCTTTCTTTGGTGGGCTGGAAACAGAAAATTCAATACTGAATCAAGACATTTTGGCAGACAATATCTTGTGACTGCATCTTTATAACATGACAAATACTACTAGTATGTTGTAAATGGGGTCTGATATACTGGTAAACAAAAACAGAGAGCAGGTTATTTCGAGAATCAGCGTCAACCCCATAACAGAGAAGAGAAGAGAAATATCTTCCCACTGGCCACCTACATTGAGAACCTGGTAATGGGCTTAACATTACTAATACAGTACAATACACACTCGCATTCCATCTCATATCAACATAATCACAGATGCGTTTACGGCACCCGGCATGCTGTCTAGGTAGAAAGCTCACTAGATTTTGAGTAACGTTAACATCCATCATGAACGCTGAACAAAGCCCCGGCTGGGAAATGGCAGTTTTTTTCTTACCACGTTGATTTTCCTTATCGGAGTTGGATCCATCCGACGATTTACAGTGACTGTCGGCTGCGTTGTCCCTTTGGAAACGGAACCGGTCTAGGTTGAAAAAGCTCATTTTAATAACAATATTTTCCGTTATGAGAATCCTCTGTCTCGCGCTGTCTTACATCACCCGGTGATGCTCGAGCACTTGATTGTGTTCGATAATAAATACTTCAGGACAGCATCATAACCCCATCGATATATGATATAAGTACAACACTGAACTGCATAAGTGACTCGACTATTAATTCAATTAAGTATTTAAGGTTTAAATTCTTTAGCTTTGAAGATAGCGGTCATTTCTGAATACAGCACATAACACGTTCCCGCCACCGACTGGCAATGCGTCATTTCCGCTTTTGAGCCAATAACAACACAGCGGCTTTTTCCCTTTAAATTGTCAGTCAGGATTTTATAAATATTAAACTTCACCATTTTACAGGTACAATTATTTAAAATAGAAAGGAAGACGTATATAAAATAGATAGATTGGTAGATAGAGTCTGTAAATTTAGATGTTATAGTTATAGTCTGTAAATGCAAAAAGATTAAAAGACGTCATCAAAACTTTTAGAATACGTTTGAAAGAATTTATTAAAATCATCTGGAGAAGTGTTTCAAAGGCTACAGCAGTGCATTCACATAGGCTATCTGATCGTTCTTAATATATTGATTTTTTTTAACAATATGCTAGCTTTTCAGTAAGATTAATGGTGACTGAGGGAATTAATTACCTTGATAAACAGCAGTATTTTTAAGAATAGATAGATAGATAGATAGATAGATATAGAGCACAAATTCTGAGTAGGCTATGGGACAGAATACTTGGCTACACGTCACGTAACTTCTATCTATCTATCTATCTATCTATCCCACCCAAGTGCACACACACGCGCGCACACACACACACGTCTGGTTTACTATCCTTGTGGGGACTCTCCATATAGGCGTAATGGTTTTTATACTGTACAAACCGTATATTCTATCGTCCTACACCAATCCTACACCTAAACCTGCCCCTCACAGAAAACTGTCTTTGTACTTTTACATTCTCAAAAAAACTCATTCTATATGATTTATAAGCTTGTTTCCCCATGGGGACATACTCAGTTTAGGTCTCCACGGTGTCCACCGGGATAGAAAAACATGTACACACACACACACACACACACACACACACACACAGCAGTGGGTTAAAAGTTGGACTCTCTAACCATTAGGCCACAACTGCACCCTATAGATAGATAGATCGATAGATAGATAGACAGATAGACAGGCAGGCAGGCAGGCAGGCAGACAGACAGACAGACAGACAGACAGACAGATAGACAGATAGATAGATAGACAGATAGATTCTTTTACAATTACATTTTGACATTGCACATGGGATGAATTTTAAATTAACATAATCACTCCACCCATCCACTAGGTGACACACTTGTATTACAAAGCTGCAGTTAAATCTCCTTGCCTGTCTGTAAAGGGGCGACACTGAGTCTGTTTCTGTCCTTGAACAGACTGGCAACAAGTTCTCAAAACCCCTGTGTCACTGAGACACTTACAAAGCTTTTGTGAGATTTTTGTTGTTGTTGCTGATTTCAAATGTAGATCATATTTCATATTATGTCAGATCATATTTCATTCTGCATTTCCACAATGTAATTGGTTACTTTAACATTGGGATTTGAGTTATTGGAATCACCAGGACAAATGTTTAGAACAGCAGTGCAGGCACAGACTATCTGATCATTGTTAATATGAGATTTTTAGCAAGAACTCACAGAGGGAATTATTATTTACCTTGATAAACATTGGTATTTTCAGGAAGAGTTGGCACCTATCCACACACTACTGTAGAATCAATGTCAAAAGTATATGTACACAGTATGCAGTCCTGAATTGTGCTGAGTATTCCATGCCGCCACTCTGTCTCCCTTTCCTTGTAACTATGGAGATTCCTATAACTTACACTAGTGCCATGTACACAATGGGCACACTGACATTGAGTTTGATCAGACTCCTGACCCTAAACAGCAGGGAACTGAATCAGGGACCCCAGTTAGTTTACTGCAGTCTCATGGCATAAACTCCATTTCATCATTAGCAAAGTAAAGATAGTTACAACATTAAATAATGTACTACAAAGTGTGTTACAGTTTTTCTGAATTGCTAAAACACATTTCTTAAAACCATCACTCATTTTCTCAAAACCTTAAACACAAATCCAAATACTCAAACTAAATTAACGAAACCTCTGACTCTTCCATCAAAATCAAACAATCACTGCAAAACCATTTCACTTGCACTCAAAATCAAACGCTGCACTCAGATCACACACACACATGAGTCAATAAAATAAACACTACAGAACATTCATTAGACACTACAGAGAAAAATGGAGAACACAGCATCCAGAACATTACAGAAAAAAAGTATATTGTATTGAGTAAACAATTTTGCAATTTTGTAAAAAAGTATAGTAATCGTAACTTAGTAAGGTAAATATATTGTATAGGCCTATTGTACAGTATGTACTGCAAGAATAGTATTGTGCTGAATATTGAATAGTACTGAATGTTTGTATACTGTATATTCAGCACTTGGATACTGCAAAGATACTGCAGTCCAACTGCAGAGGCCAAAAAGGTCAAATACAATTCTAAATGAATAGCATGTTACAGGACACTCAAATACTGTAAGTTGTGCAACTGTAAAATCAGGGTCAAGGATAGATTCATTCTGTCTCAGCATCATGTCTTTGTGCTTGAGTCCGGCCTGAGGACTTTGTCCACATCACAAGTAATGTTGTCTTTTTTGCTAGACAAAGAGAAAAAACCCTCTGGCCTGACAGATCCAGCCTTGATAACACTCTCTAAACCGTAGTTTTGTACAGTTGGTTTGATCACATCATTAGAAACAAGTGTGAACAATTTTGAATCGTTGTGTGTAAACGATGACAGCTGTGCTTTAGTTGTGTTTAACTTTTGCTGCTTGTGTTTAACATTTTGCAGCACAAATGCATCACAGTGTGATAAGTGTTTAAGTGAATGAGAATTTGTTTAAGGTTTTGCAAAAAGAGTGCATGAGATTTGCAAATAGAGCATAACTGCTGGTTTAAGCTAGTGAGAATTTGGTTCAGAGATTGGGGTTTAGTGTATTAACAATTCAGAAAAACTCTAAAACGTTGTGATGGTGATAATGTGTGTGTGCCAGTGACGTTTATTCAAACTTCCACTTTCAAAAGCTGTACAGAATGGAAGTTAGTGACCAGACCAGACACCATTCGTGCTAACATTACATTAAGTGCCTGACATCCCTATGGAAGTTTGAGGAATTGAGCTCAAGATTGACCTACCATCCTTGTGGACTTGTCACTTTGTCTGTCACTATCCACCAGTCTCCATGGCTCCCTGCTTGTACGAGACCCGACGGCGGCAGGGAGTACCTTATCACCGTGGCAACATGTCTGCGATTTGGCTCCTTCCCACCCCCTAAAACAAAATACCCGCCCTTTCCAAATGGCAAGATCATCACAAAATTAATTGCCATTGTCTCATTCCACATTCATTAGACATTATCCAAGAACTGTCAAACAAGGCTTACAATTCTAGGATGGACGAAAAGTGCCGATTAATTATGTTGATTTATGTTTGGATAACTCTCACATATACAGTTGACATGATGCTGCTTGCCTTAGACATAATGTATACGGTAGCCACCACAATCAATGGGTAGAAAAAAGGAAAATTTGATATTACATTGCATTGATTAAGAAAGAAAATTGATTGTCTATGGAGAAGAGTTTGAATTTTTTGGTTTAAAAACTGCATGCATTCTTGGCTCATTAAAATATTTATTCTAAAAAGCTTTGACCACACTACATATGATAGGGTCCCCTAAACAGCACAGTGCTTTTTCATAGAGTAGCAAAGTTTGAAATGCCATCCTGTCAGGTCAATGCATCATGTTTGTCAGGAATGGATTACCTTCTACTATGAAAGCTTGAACGTGTGTGTGTGTGTGTGTGTGTCTACAAGCAGTAAATGACAATGTCTCCCTGTGCCACAGCTAGAGGTCCCACCTTGGCGGGTGAGGTCCAGGGTGGTGCTGCTGGGTATTTTTAATTAAATCAGCCTACAATGAGGAATATGGAAGTGGAGGGAAGTCAGGGAGGAGGGGGGGAGCTGGGGTTAGTGAGGGGGATCTGACCATCTCCAGGGTAAAGGCAGTGTGGGAAGAGAATGTGCTCCTCCTTGCTGTGTCTTCTCTTTGTGTCCCGCCACTTCTTATATACTGTGGGAATTCCCAAGGAATGAGAGGTGAGGGACACACATTTGATTTGAATCAAGTCATATCATATTGCTCTTTTGATGCACATAACGATATATATATATATATATGTGTGTGTGTGTGTGTGTGTGTGTGACAGTAATTATTCCCAGTTAATCATTTTGATGTTCAGATCAGCTACAGAACTATATTTGACTAAGTAGACTGAGCATAAACATAATTCATGCGCCTCATCTTGCAATACTTGTTGAAATTTGTGACAGACAGCTAGAATGCTTTCTGTTTTGACCAGAATTTAGGCAGTTCTCAATTATTATGTGGAATAATAATAATAATAATAATAATAAAAAAATAATGAGTCATATATTATTCCATATATGCATTAGAAATTATATATGTTGCATATTATTTTATTATTATTTTTACTTCATAAAATGACTGGTAACTGTTTTGCAAAAAGGTCCTATTGTTAACATAAGTAAATGCATTACCTAACATGAACTAACAATGAGCAATATATAAATGCTGTTGAAGTATTGTTCATTGTTAGTTCATGTTAACTAATGTAATTAACTAATGTTAACAAATTAAACCTTATTGTAAAGTGTTATCAAATTTTTCAGTATTAATTAAAATAATCATTGACTGCTGCCTGATTGCTACAGTGTCATAGATGATAATGAAAAACAAGTTAAAAAAAGGTAAGTTAAAAAACACCACCATATTCTTTAATGTTAACTGCACATCTTGAAAACAGGTACAGGACCCGAAAGCTCTTGGACAAGTAATGATAACATAAAAAGCATCAAGGCCCTCGCTCTCATTATTTCCCACTGGAGGGGTGCTGTGATGGCTCGACTGGGACTGTGACGCAGGGAACATAGAATGCTTTCTGTTTTGACCAGAATTTAGGCAGTTCTCAATTATTATGTGGAATAATAATAATAATAATAATAATAAAAAAATAATGAGTCATATATTATTCCATATATGCATTAGAAATTATATATGTTGCATATTATTTTATTATTATTTTTACTTCATAAAATTACTGGTAACTG